ATGCCGGAGTATCAGGAGGTACTCCGGCAGGGGGGGCTGTGACAGGTCTGTGGAGGGTGGGAGTCGGGTGGGGAATGGCGCAGCATAGGGCAAACCAGGTGCTGGTGAGGGGCAGCGCTGCGGGACCAACCTGGCAGCACCCCAACTGCTCTGCCCCGCTGCTTCCCCAAGTCTGCCGCTGCCGCTTGCAGCCCCAGTTGGCCTGTCACCAGCAGCTGTGCAGGGCTTCCCCCACCTCCATGCAAAACGGGGGAGGGTTCGCACTTCGCCATTCCCTGCCAACCCGACCCGACCCACACACCGCTGGCCGCAATGCGGGTCCCAGCAGACCGATCACAGCCCTCTCCCCCCGCCGGAGTACCTCCTGATACTCTAGCATATCCAATAATCCGGCACCCCCTGGGTCCCAAAGGTGCTGGATTATTGGAAGTCTACTGTACTGCTGGATGGACATGCGATTTGCACAACTCAACCATCCAGCTCCTCCTAGTGGAGATTAGAAACAATTTTCCCTTATTTCCTATTATGTCAAATATCAGAAGTACACAGCTGCCCAACTCTTTTATAGCTGGCTTCTGAATGCCACAAATAGTTCTGTGTCTCCTGTAAACGCACTTTAAGTCCACAAGATGCCAAGAAAGGCTGGTCCGAGAAGCTAAGAAATGAAACTCACAAACAGGTTTCCTTTAGGTACTATTAATGCAGTGAAAATTTAGAATTGTATCAATTTAGATGTTTTTAAAAGATTCTTATCCATATGCCCCACTGAATTACATAAGTAGAAGCAATTTCTCAATAGAGAAAACTAATCAAAACAGCCATATTCATACTTTAATGCTTACAGTGAAAGTCATGAAATCGCTGATGAAACACACTAGCAAACTACCTACAAGCCATGCAGACGCAGCTGTTTGAGCGGATTTGTCAGGTAGAAAATCTTCCCTCAATAGCATACCAACTCCCACCAATGCTTAAGAGTTAAACAAACACACTTCAAAGAGAAAAAAAGAATCCTTTGATGTCTTTCCACATTCTCCACCACCTTTTCAATCTTTCAGAATTATAATGAGGAAGCAGAATTATTTACCTGAATAATGTCTGAAAGTTTATGTAATCCAGCTGTGTTGGTAAAGATCCCAGTACCTAGAGATGACAGTATATTAACATTTTATATAAACTAATGCACATATGTCTATATACCCATAAGTGAGAGTGCACAAACACACACATAAAGGTGCACTGCACACATCCACATCTCACTCACTACCTCCAAGATTATAAATAAAGTGGCTTAAAAACATTATTGATCACAAAGAGTAAATTACACCAGCACACTGCAGCATAATTTGGTGTGCAAGGTGAGCATGACTTGATTTCATAGCATTTGTCCCATCTCCACCCTGCACTGAGAAGCTGTAATGTAAATTAGCTTTCATACTGCTCACGTACATTTATAGTCAATGATCAAATCTCAGTGAAGGTTCTCTAAATTCAGAGCCTGGAGTTTTGGAAATAATGGATACTAGCTATTCATATGGTATTTCAAAAGTGAACTTTATGCCATTTCCCTTCTGTAGTAAGGCTTCCGATCACCTCCCACTGGGTAGTATTAAGAAGATAGCATATATAGTTTTGAAAAACTACTTTACTGATACCAGTGAAGCACTTAGAAAGATCCTGCAGACTAATAAATGCAAGCAGGAATTAGAGAATGAAGTATACCAGAGGTGAGTGGGTAGACACTCTTTACTGCCTTTTCACAAGCTTTTAGGACAATTAATAGTGGTCCCATGTACAGCAAATAGAGAGAGAACGTGATGTGAATGGCACCCAATCTGTCTTTTTATTTGTGCCCCCTACATATGGAAGTATCCATTTGTTGGCATTTCTGAGAAAGCACTGTCATCTATCATTTTAAAAAACTATGCAACTTAGGAGCCATCGTGACAGGCTTATACTTACGGCCTGACAGAAATTGTTCAATCTGTTCCAGCGACTCCAGGAGGGAGGTTTTGGTTTGGAATGTGATCTGGGCCTCTGCAAACAGATCAAAGATGTAGCTGCAATTCAAGAAGAAAAACACAATTAGACAATCCTTCCAAATAACCCTGTATTATTTATTTCATAACAGTAATACCTGGCCCTTGTCGTTCTCTGTATTCCCTTCTCCATGAGGAATAAAGGTAAATAACAATAGCAAATACGTTGTTACAAGGTTAACGGAGATAATGTTGGGATATTTTTGTCTGAAAGCCCAATGACCTTCATCACCACATCATTTACAATTACTTTTCATGCACACCTTATTACAACACACAATTCCGTCTGGTTTACAAACAGTTCGGTAAAGCATGAAGTACCTCAACCAGACCATAGTTAGACTGGTTCTTTAAGCCAGCATTTGACAGTGTGAGGGGGGTGGACTCACCCTGCACTGGACAGGGAAAGGTTAACTCCTCACTGTGTGTAGAGGAAGCCATGCCCACACATCCTACTGGGCATTTTCCAGGTACAGCACGGAGCAGCTCACTTCAGTCTGAGCTGACTCCCAGAGTGGAAGGACACTCCTTACTGTTCCTGTCCAGGAACCACTGCAACCCAGACCATGAAAGCCAGAGGTGCCAAGACCCAGAAAGACACCCAGCCAGCTGTGGACATCCCAGGAATATCTGAGCTACAGGAAGTTGCATTGGCCAAGGAACTGGAGACTCCAAATATGTGCAAACGTCAATAGAGATAACAGTAGGAAGTAGCCTGAGATGGGACTAGCCATTGTCCTGAGGCTGGTCAGTGTGTTGTGAATGCAGCTGACCCAGTGGCAGACACATTCACTACTGCAAAGATTCTGAGCTGGGACCCAGAGGAGAAGGGAAGGCCTGGATCCCCTACTTGGCTGCAAAACACAAAAATCCTGGCGGTGGCTCACAGCCCCATGTAGCCGCTCGTGACTAGGCCATATAGACTCACCCAGAGGATGACTCTACTGACTCTGACCACAAAGTCTTGCTGCTGGCAAATCTAAAGCATCACTAATGACTCTGGCCCCTAGGTCTTACTGCCCTGCAGACTCACGGTATCTCCATTGACTTTGGCTATCAGACCTTACTGCCTTGTAAACCATGAGTATTTCTATGGACTCTGGCCACTGAGTCTTGCTGTCCTATAGAGAAAGGATCCCCCCCACCCAAAATAGGTCACATGACCATACTACCCATAGATCAGGGCAATTACGTAGCCCTACATAATTTGGCCATTGAGCCTTAACACCCTCCAGAACAGGGCAACTTTAGGGACTTCAACCCTTAGGTCTCACAGCCTCAAGAGAGAAGGCAGCTTGAAAGACAGGGTGAACTTGTTCCCACATTGGATGGGGTCACCCCACCCTATCAGAAAGAAACAAGTGAAGACCATTGTCCAGTTTAACAGAACCTATTATTCACTAACGCACTCCATACCAAACCTTCTGAACTTTAACTTGCTGTTTTTATCGGTGCTGTGGTCTCCAGGTTATAACATGATTTGCTTTGCCATTACTAAATAGTGAGAGGCTAAATGGAAAAATCCCAATCACAGTAGGATAATACTGTATGCAAAGCATCATATAATAAACAAACTACTCACTATTCCTAAAGGCATGGGGTCAAATGTTTTAGGGTCACATTAATAGATTTCATAATTACTATGATCTGATATTGAAATGCTCATCAGAGTTTAAAAACATATCAAATTACTGAAATACAATTCAAGTAAGAAAGTACAATAGGGAGGAATATTTTATAGGGACCCACTGAATATACTTTGTGTGTACATCAACAGTTAGGCAATAAAGCTGGTTCCCAGAGCTAGGGTAAAATTACTAATGTTAACAGCTAGTATACCTTTTAAGCACTTATTGCTACTTGCTGTCTTGGAGGCTTCCAATCTCAGAGCACTGCATTATCTTCCTTTGGCACTCTGGAGGAGAAACTCACATTGGAGACTATCTATTAGGCCAGAAGTCTCTCCTCCTAACATACAGACACGCTCATGAGGAGGGTAATACAATCTCACAGCAGAATGGCCAATTTGCACCTACCTCCCTTCTTTAGTGACTCCATTCCCATTAGCGGGCAGCTGCACAGCATCAATAGCATTTTCCAGTTGAAGAAGAATCCCTTTAAAGCAATCGAAGGAGAAAAACAATTCAATTCACAGTAAATAAAAATTCCAGAACTCATCTAAATTGCTATTTTGAATGGCCTTTGTTACAAAGATCGTCACCTAATTACTCCCCCTAAACCTAGCTTTTATCGTCTTTGTATAACCAAGCTGAGGTTAAAATTTATATTTCAGCAGTTTTTAAAGTATTTCAAATGTTTAATTTTTAAAAACTCTAAACACATATACTGACTGTATATTCATAGAGCACCTACCATCCAAAAGCACTTAGTAAGCATTAATTAATTAAGCCACAACATTCCTGTGACACATAATCTATGCAGGAGAATAGAATATATGTATGTCTGCCTATTTCATTGCATTTACAAGATTCTCACATCTAGGAAATTGGGTAGTATGTGAGATCGTAATAAATACACAATCTTTCACTCAGTGACACCTTTGCAAATTTCTCTCCCTAAGGACTTCTAATTCAGTGGTAGATCGCTATTCTTGTATAGAAGCTCCAGGGGATAGCCTAGTTAGCCTGTACAGGATAAACTTAAAAAACATCAAATGGTCTGGTAGCACTTTATAGTGATATTATGAGCTTTCGTGGCCACAGCCCACTTCTTCAGATGACTGGAGTTTTTTTAAAAGCTGTGCCCATGAAAGCTCATGATACCATCTACATCAGTGATCTCCAACCTTTTTACACCCATGATCACTTTTTAAATGACAGAACAAGCCAAGATCTAGCCCCCCCCCCAGCCCCTACCTTGAAGCCCCGCCCTTCCTCTCTAGTCTTCTCCTCTCCATCACTTGCTATCCCCAACCCTTATACTGCTGCTTTTTTTCCCAATGCTTCTGTAGGAAGAGGTTTTTCCAATATTTGGCCTGTCTAGACTGGACTAAAGGTCAGAAAAGCCCCTTCTTTTGGAAGCCCCCTTATTCCTCATGGAAAGAGGAATACAGGCAGTCCCCGAGTTACGCAGATCCGACTTATGTTGGATCCGTACTTACAAACGGGGCTTTTCTCGCCCCCGAGGATGCGGGCGGTGGGACCGCCCAGATGCACCGCAGTCCCGCCACCCGCGTCCTCCGGGGCGAGAAAATCTGCTCCACGTCTCCCTGGTCTGCTGGGGGACCCGGGGACCCCCCCTCCAGCAGACCATGGAGATGCGGAGCAAAGCCCCCCCCCAGCAGACCAGGCTTTTCTCGAGGATGCCTGTGATAGAGCAGCTGGGGCGCTGCTAGTTGGTCCCGCAGCGCTGCTCCTCGGCGCTACTGGACCAACCCGGCAGCACCCCAGCTGCTCTGCCCCAGGCATCCTGATTCAGCCG